GTGACATACTCTACTCTTCTTACCTTCATTTGTGAAATCTCGCCATTGAGGAATGGAGTGACCTTCACCTTGTACTTCTTCTTACCAAAGTCTACCTCATGATCTTGTTTGTCGGAAAGACATTTGGCGACTGAAGACAAATAGAAACAAACAGAATTAAAAAAAAAAAGCACCAAGCATCTTGCACAGATGTGTCGGACTTAATGAATTTAGTTAACTTACTATTATCGTCTACAAAGGTAATGACCACAGTGCCAGAGTCATGTAGCATGTCTCTGTCCTCCACCTCGCCGCCTCCATTCTTCTTCCTAGAGAAATGTATGTCTAGTTTGTCTAGTACTCTATCCTCAGGTTCTTCCTTTGGCAGGTTGGAGACTAGGATTCTGCGTGGGCACACCTGTGTTTCCATCTAACAGATGGAGAGATAAACAGAGTGTTGTTTTATATCATGTCCATAGGAACACAATGCAATCCAAAATATGCAATCCATGTTTGTAAACGGATGTCAGCTTGTCTCTATTACCTCAACATAACTGGGTACCAGGAACTGAATGGGTTTAGCCTGCACGGTGATGGTACAGTCCCCAAGTTGCACCAAATGATCCTTTAGGTTCAAGATTTTCTGAGCCACTAAGATGTAGTATCAGAAGAGATTTGAAGAGAACTTAATAAAGCAATAAGCAACAAGAAGCCCTGGTTGGTAGGCTTATGTGTTACAGTCATTTTAATGATACTGAAAAGTTTCTCAGTGTAAAAATCTATGGCAGTGGTTCATAACCCACTAGACCCACTAGGGGTCCTCAGCAAACTTCCAATGGGGCCTCAAGATGACCTAAATCTACTTAAAACATAATATTAAAAACAATATAAAAAAAAGATAATTTTCTTATTTTATTACAACCCCTCAACAACCTTTTTTCTTCTTTGAGGAACCAAGGTTTCTACAGAAAGAAGGTTTGTTTAAATTGATAAAATCTTAAAAAGTGATGGGCATTTTTATAATGTATAAAAAATTTTCTGTCTATGCCAAGCTCTAAAATATTTAATCAGGTAGAAATCCTGAGTAAAAAATATTTTAATACATTTTGAATTTTTTTTTCTATACTTCTATATTTCACAAACAACTGGAAGAGTCATGTAAATGCATTGGTTAAAAAGAATGGGATTGCTGAAGACCAGTGGCCTGTAGCACGAAGCCGGTTTCAGTTTTGACCCACGTAAGTTTTAGTTTGAGCAAACTCTGAGTTTTCGGGCTCAAGAAGGTGGGCTGGTTTTGAGCGGGTTTCGTCACCATGGTAACTTACGCTACACGGCTACCCTGCTCCAGAGCAGGTTTTATTCTGAGTTAGATATCACAAACCCAAACTGGACTAATCAGCTGTGAGCAAAGTGACATATATCTGAAGCAATAAAGCCACTCCTCCATCTCTAGCTTCAAATTAAAGCAGTTTAGAGTCAAAGAATTTTAGAGACAAAATTGCCAGACTTTTCAATTATAATTGTTTATAACTTATATCATATATTCTTATAATCACAAACTCTGAATTAAACTCTGAGTTGACTGAGAAC